AAAAAAAAAAAAAAAAAAAAAAAAAAAAAACTGGGAAAAATGTGCAATTATTGGGACTTTGAGAATATTTTGTTATTTGTGTATAGATTTTTTTATTTTTTTATTTTTGGTTCTCTCAATGTAAAGTTGTGTATCAATAATATGACACTTTTACCCTTGCCAAAAAGAGGAAAAAAAATTCGAAGTGAAGATTCTCTTTCACGAGAAATTATTTGAAGAGGTCGTTGGACGGTTTGATGTGTATTAGAGAGAAACGACCAAAGTATTGGTTATTAGAAGTCGGGGCGTGTAGACTTCTAAATTCACGTCCCATGATTAGTAAGATTGTGAAATGTATTGGAACTTATTGGAATTAGGTTTTAAAACTCGTGCGTAAAGTCAACAAATTTGAAAGTTCGGGTTCTCATTATTCATTTTCTAATTGTTGACCGGACTTCTTGTTATGAGGTATGATGTAACGAATCTTTTGACTTTTCTTAAAAAATTCTATTTAATTCATTGATATTTTCAACCTATTGACTTTTAGTCCGATTGGGGATTCCTTTTGAATTTGGAATCAAATCATAGAGAGATTGATGTGGAATTTGAGATGACGACTAAATTTACGTTTTTAAACCATTTTTATTTCAATAATTCCCTTAAAAGTAACAAATGTATAGTAAATATTTGAAACTTTAACAAAAAAAAAAAAGAGAATAAAATTAATTTTTTATTAGGAAACATACGTCACCTAAATCTTAGCTCCATATATTAATATATACGTCAAATTAATAAAAATACTCATAAATTTTGTACTATATCTCATAAAGATACCTTAAATCTTTTAAAATTTAAAAAATACTCCTAAACTTTTAAAAGCAGCATTAATATTTTTAATGTTTATAAAAAAAATTTAAAAATAATTATCGTCAATCCGAACAAAAACCATCTATCTACGTTTTATAAATTATTTCCCTTTTCAATTTTAAGGATAATAAAGGTAAATTTTTTAAAAACAATTTAAAGGTATTAATGTTATTTTCCAAAATTACGGTAGATTTCTGAAACATGGTACTAATAATTCTAACTATATCTTTGATTTAGATGTATCATTGACCGTTTAAAAATATTTTTTAAATAAAACAATTAATCTTTTTCCTTCAAAAACTAAAAACAGAGTATTTTTAAATTTTTTTAAAAAAATTTAAAGATATTATTGAAACTTTTAATTTAAAAAAGCTTAAAGGTATTAATGTTATTTTCGAAAGTTAATGTGTATTTCTGAAACATGGTACTATAAATGTATCTTTGACGGTTTAAAAATATTTTTTTAAATAAAAAAATAATCTTTTTCCTTCCAAACTAAAAATAAAGTATTTTCAAAAAAATTTTAAAAAAATTTAAGGATATTATTGAAACTTTTAATTTAAAAAAGTTTATATTAATGTTACTTTCGAAAATTAATGTGTATTTTTGAAGCATGGTACTAATAATTCCGACCATATCTAACCGTAAAGATTTTTTTTTTAATTTTTAGAAAAATTTAAAGATTTTTTTTAAATTTTAAAAAAAGTTTAACGGCATTAATGAAACTTTTCACGGTTTAAATGTATTTTTTATATTTTTTAAACCAAATATTAATATTTTTCCCCTAAACTAAAAATAAAGTATTTTTAAAATTTTATTTTCTTATTTTTAAAGAAATAAATATTTTTATTAATTTAGGATAATATATATAAATTTATATGAATGGGACCATGTTTTAAAAAAAATATAAAAAGGAATGTTAATTATATATAAAATTTATTAAAAAAAAAAAAAAAGAAAAAAAGAATACGTGTAGGGTCGGTGATGGAAAAGCAAAAGGATTAAGCATTTAATTACAAAACAAAACCTGCTTTCGCTGTCCTTCAAACTGCTTTCCAATTTTACTCTCTCTTTCTCTCATCCTTTTCATGATCATCTATTTCTTAAGCTTATCTTCCTCCCACCAAATCTCTTTCGCTCTGATTCTTCTTCTCCAACGCTTTCTTTTTGGCGACCCTTTTGGTCTCCGATCGAAGTAAGCACTCTTAATCGTTTCACTTTCTGTTTCTGTCTCTGAATGTTGCTTGTTTGTTTTTGTATCGCTACTCATTAGCTTCTTCTTTTAATTTCATGAAATGTGTATCTGTTTACTGATTTCGTTGCGGATTTTCTTGAGTGATTGCCTCGTTTTTCTGATTTTTCTCTTTGATTTTCTAGGTTTTTCGCTCTGCGGTGTGTTTCGTTGTTTGAATCTCTGTGAATTAGGGGTTTTGAATGATTTTTGTTCGATGATTGTTGATGAATGGGGCTTATGATTTCTAGCTACGAAATTTTGATTTTGCATTGCGATGAAGACTTTTTGTTTCGTAGGTTAAATTAAATCCAGCGCCATGATTGCGTGTTGTCGTCATTATATTGAGATTCTGTATATTCGTTTTTGTGTTTCGCGATTGTTCATTGGAATTATGTTCGAGTGTTTTGGTTTACGGGTTGATCAGGGTTTTGAATTTGTATCAGTGCGTATTGAGCAAGTATATGTTAGGTTTTTCAATTTCTAATTTGGGACTAAATTTGTTAAACTGCTGGATTTTCTTATGGTAAGTTGCCAGAAATGGAAGAACGTTTGGATTTCTTGGATTTGCTTGAACCCGACATGTCGAGAAAGATTCTGATGTGCTTGGATGATATTTCTGATATCGTTCGTGCGAGTGCCGTCTCACGATGTTGGCAACATTTGGGTGAGTACATGAGTTAGAAAGTCCATCTCAGCTTTTGTTTTTGATTAAAATGTGGATGTAGTGTATTCTTGATATTAGTGGGAGATCCATTGTGAGATCCTACATTGGTTGGAGAGGGGAACGAAACATTTCTTATAAGGATGTGGAAACCTCTTCCTAGCAAACGCGTTTTAAAACCTTGAGAGGAACCCTTGAAGGGAAAGCGCAAAGAGAAATATCTGCTAGCGGTGGACTTGGGTTATTACAAATGGTATCAAAGCTAGACATTGGGCGGTGTGCCAGCGAGGACACTGGGCCTCCAAGGGTAGTGGATTGTGAGATCCCGCATAAGTTGGAGAGGGGAATGAAGCATTTCTTATAAGGGTTTGGAAACCTCTCCCTAGCAGACGCGTTTTAAAACCTTGCGGGGAAGCCCAGTAAGGAAAACCCAAAGAAGACAATATCTGCTATCAGTGGGCTTGGGCTGTTACACCTTATACTTTTGTTCTATTGACCGACATTATATTTTACCTTTTTGCACTTTTTCAGTGATAGAAAATGGTCTGTCAAAGCAGCTCTGCCTTAGATCATTCCCTCCTTTGTCTAGAGTAGCTTCAATCGTTGAAGTGAACGACTCGGAAGCGAATGGACACATAGAAGTAGCATGTAGTAGTTCAAGAGATTCCAAATCCGTGCCGAGGGATCACAAAGTTTATGCTTATTTTGCCCATGCGGCTACATCGTTTCTTATGAGAAGTTGCATTTTAGAGGCACTTATTGCTTCCAGCACTGATAATGAACCCGAGGAAACCATCAACAACACGTTGGAACCAAGAGACGTGGTTGCAAGGAGAGCTTTGTATTGGTCGAGTAAGGGACAATTTAAACCTGATGTGCCCGAGACACTGATATACAGATTAGTCTCCAATTTATGCGTCGTAACTGAAATTGACATACGACCTTTCCAAGGTATTTCTGTCGACACTTCTTCTTCCTATAATATTAAACTTCAAGTAGGCTTTTTCACCTTCTATATTGTTTGCTTAGATGATTGAGTCTATTTTCCTTGCCAGCATTTTTTCAGCCAGGTTCACCTATATACTCAGCAAAAGCTGTGCGTTTCCGGTTTGGTCATTTAAACCGTGTCATGAATCCTAGAAGCGATCTGACTGGGGAGTCACACTGGGGATCTGGAAACGATACGTTTATATGGACCTACACTTCTCCAGAATTTCCAATGGCTCAGGTATAATCGAAGTCTACGCTTTGTTCATGCACTCGGCGTTCTCTTATTGTCAAAGTCCATTTCCTTGCTCAAAGTGCCCGTCATTCTTCTATTGGAGACGTTCTTTTTGTATTTTAGTTGGGTCAATCAGTTAGGGTTTATCGTTTCAGATTGTAGTAATTTATACCGAAACTCTATCCGTGATCTTGGATCTTATCCACTTAGTTATTCCACATATCTGGCTCTAGCATTTGATACCTTCTATTTGATTTGAACATGGTTACGATATATGTAATAGATTTGTATTTTGTCTGGGTATTTCGCG